ATTCTGGAACACACATGGCACCTTGTTCACATTTCACTGGTGACAACAATTCACATAATCCCACTTACATAAACAGAGCTAGGAAATGTAGTCTAGATGTGTAGCAAGACAGTGACGTTAGCAAGTCCTAGCGGTCTCTTTCATACTCTTTAAAGCTTAAGCTCCACAAAGGCAGGAATCTTTGTCTGGTTTATTCATAGATTTATCCCTGTGCCTATTATATTGTCTGGCATATATAGGTGGTCAAAAAATATCTTTCAATGGGGCAGGGATTTAGCTCAGTGGCACCATGCCTCCCTTGCAAGCACAAGGTCCAGAGTTTGATCCCCAGTACTGAAAAAAAAATCTTTCAAATGGATGAATGAATGAATGGGAGAACAAGATAAATCTAAGACATGGTACTATATGCCATTTTTTAAATTAAAAGTAAAATAAACTGAATGGACTGAGTACTAAAAGAATATTAAGTTATGCTGCACAGCTACTTAGATAAAACATTAAATAGAACCTTCTGGAAAATCAAACTAAATTTCCAGGTACTAAACTATGTATATGAAATCTACAATCTACTATGTAAATTCATATACAAGCTGGTGAAATGCACTAAACTCATCTGTTGTGAATATATAGAAATATTCATTCAAAATATTAGCACAGATACAGTGAACAACCTTCAAAGAAATTATTATTAATCCGATTACACACATTCTGTTAGGTGGAAACTTCTCTACCCCGCCTCAAAAATTCACCAACACCTTTCTCAAAGGACTGGGATATACACAGAATCTTAATTTTGAAAACAAATTACATGCAAACATCCACATACTGCCAATATCATCTGTCCATAAAGAATACATGCACCCACAAAAATTCCTAACTGATACATACAATACCAGCTTCAAAATTATGCATGCTGATAAAACTAGTTTTCTTAAATCTAAAGTCACTATAACAAAAATATTTTCATGAAAACAGAAAAAAAGCTGAAATAACAGTAAAAAACAAGTGGAAATCTACTTTGAAGATGAAGAGGAAATATAAGAACTCATTTGTGATTTGCATACTGTTCTATAAATATGTTGTAATGGCATAAAAAGAGTGTATGGAGAGGTGCTTACTGACTGTGGATGAGGCCAACTCCCTGGGAAAGAAGGTAAACCCAGGGAGAAAATACGGACCTGGCCAGCAGCAGTAGCCCCAAGAAAAGCCCACAGCTATAGTGAACTACAAAAACCAGCATTGGTTTTACTCTGAAAGTGACTCCTTCACAGGAGGCTATAGTTGTACAACAAACCCACTGCAGCACCTGCCATGTTGCCAGACAGTGTTTAATCAGGTGCCATTTGGGGACCACAGAACAACTAAAGAACAAGTCCATGAATATACTTATTACTGCCAGGGTCACATACTCATTGCTATTAATAGGTTTTCTATGTATGCCAATACCTGGATTACCTTTGTGACTTTAACAATACTGAGATCCAGAACTGGGTGCTGGGACAATACATTACATACCCCCTCACAAATTAACTGAGATGATCAGATCTTGGAACAGAGGCAAAGAACTATAGTTAGCCACATCCTGAGTGCATCAATGAAAAGCTGACCAACTAAACTGATCTCCATACTCGCACTCCACGTGAACTGATTGCATTCCTAAACTCAAAACAAAACAAAAACAGAAACATGAGAAGATAAGTCAATAAAAAGCCTCCCAAAACTACCACATCCCCCAAAGCTGATCCACAGAGTATTGAGGAGGAGGAAAGGAAAAGCCACATAGCTGAATTATTGGAAAGAATAGCAGAGGAGATTAAAAACAGACCAATGAGTTGTGTCAAGGGCTCACAGAAAATATAACTAATCAGATAATGGAGGTAATAAACAAAACAATCAGGGAGTTTAGAGCAGACCCTAATAAAAAGGCAGCTGACACAAAACATGAATGACCAGTTTACCAAAGAACTAGAGTCCAAAAAGAGGTTCCAAAAGAAACCCAAGAGAAGAAGAAGAAAAGTAAAAGAAATCCAGAAGATTTAAAAAATTATATTTAAACTATGGGCAGCAGAAGTGACCAATGTGAGGTCAGAATATCAGAAGACAGGGATGGTTTCAAATATCAATTACTCAGAAATACCTTAAAACAACAAGAAAATACGAGAAATGCTGTTAGATGACACAAAGATTAAATGGAATAATTGCTAATCAGAAGACAGCAAAGAAGGCATAAAAAACCTGTTTACAGAAATAAGAGCAAAAACTTTCCAAATATTGGGAAAGAATTAAACATACAGATAAGTGAAGCATAAGAAAACTAGCTACAATCAAAACAGAACCTCTCTGCTTCACGCGATAGTCAAAATACCAGAAGTCCAACACAGGGAGAGAATCTTAAAAGCTGTTAAGAGAAAGTCAGAATCACTTATAAAGGTAAACCCATTAGAATTACAGCAGAATTCTCAACATGAACCTTAAGGCCAGGAGAACTTGGAGTGTTTCAGGCCCTAAAAGATAACAACTTCCAGCCCAGACTGATAGAACCTGTAAAACTTGCTCTCAAATGTAGTGAAGAAATAACATACTGTATTTCCATGACAAAGAAGACATCAAGAAATTCATGACTACCAAAGGAGCACTACAAAAAAATTCTCAAAGATATCCTTGAATAAGACAATGAAGCGAACAATGCCAAAACACCTAATAGAATAAATAGACCAGGCAGGGTGAGCAAAAGCCAGATACCAAAGCCAGAAAAGGACCCAACCAAAAAAGAGAACCACAGATCAACCAATCTCTTTAATGAATATGGATGAAAAATCCTTAAGAAGATATACTGACACACAGAATGCAACAAATAATCAAAAAGATCATACTTCAAGACCAAGTAGACTTCATTCTAGGGATGCAGGGATGGTTCAACATACACAAATCAATAAATATATTGCATAAACAGAAACAAGGACAAAAATCACATGATCATCTCAGTAGACACAGAAAAAGCCTCTGACAAAATCCAACATCTATTCATGATAAAAACCTGGAAAAAAATAGGTATAGAAGAACATTATTTCAATCTGATAAAAGCCATTTATGACAAACCAAAGGCCAACATCATACAAAATGGGAAAAAGCTGAGAGCTTTCCCTCCAAAATCAGGAACAAGATAAGGATGTCTGTTATCACTACTCTTGTTCAATATCATCCTAGATACATTAGCCAGAGCAATCAGGCAAGAGAGAGAAACAAAAGGGATATGTATACGAAAGAAAGAAAAAAGTCAAATTATCATTATTTGTAGAAGACATGATTCTCTAAATGAAGGCCCAAAAATTCCATCAAAAGACTCCTGCAATTAATAACCAAATTCAGTAGGTAGCAGGATACAAAGCTGACACACAAAAATCAATAGCATTTGGGTACACCAGTAATGAACTCACTGAGAAAGAAATTAGGAAAAAGAGTATCATTCACAATAGCAACAAGAAAAATTAAATACTTTGGAATTAACCTAACCAAGAAAATGAGACTTCTACAACAGAACTACAGTACTCTGAAAAAGAAGATCAAAGAGGTCAGAAAATGGAAAGATATCCTTTGTTCCTGGATAGGCAGACCAATACAGTCAAAATGGCCAAACTTCCAAAATTGATATGTATCTGTAACACAATCCCAATCAAAATACACCAGTGTTCCTCACCAAACTAGAGAAAATAATATTAAAATTCATATAGAACCAGAAGAGACCCAGAATTGCTAAAGCAATTCTAAGTAACAAGAGCAAAGTAAGTGGCAACACAGTCCCAGATTTCAAGTTATATTACAAAGCTATAGTGATAAAAACAGCATAGTTAAATGCATACATAGGTTTCTTTGTTTTGTTTTTTCCTTGACAAAGTCCTAGTATGAGAATATGTGCTTATTTGCTTTTTCTTGGTTGAGTCAGTGTTTTAGAGTTGGTTTGTTCTACCACACTGAAAATCAAATACAGGGCCCCATGCATGGAAGGCAAGTCTTCTACCACTGAACTACATCATAGTGTTTTGTTGAGTTTTAAGAAGACCAAAGTGGGGAGGGATCCCACAAAAATCCCTGGTTATTAAAGCTATTTAATATATGAAGTCCAGTAGGATGACCAGTTTTAAGAATCTAGATTCTGAATTATACTTCTGACTCTATACAGTATATTCTACCACTTAGCAAATAACCAACCAACAAAACTAAAACAAAGGTTTTAAAAGAGAAGTTGTCTGGAACAACTTTTTGGAAAGAATATGGCATTTTTTAAATTCTGGAAATAAGAGAAAGAATAATTGAAAAGCATGCCACAAGATTTATACACACCACAAAAAAGGCAGATATCAATATTTACCCAAATACTGTTATTTAAAAAACTACTTTTGATCATAAGGACACCAGTATGGCAACAGTTGGTAAATACAATATTTTCCCCAACCTAAGAGCTACAAAAATCCTTTAATTTCATGCTGATTTCTCTGTAACATTTAAACCCTATCAACATGAAGAAAAGCTCCTTGAAAAAAGAACTTTAAACCTTATGGGACACTCAAAACAGTAAGCATAAGGGAGGGGGATATCTTGTACAGTTTTTTTTTTTTTTGGACTGGGGATCGAACTCAGGTCTTGTGCTTGCAAAGCAGCCAGCGGAACCACTGAGCTAAACACCGGGCCTCCATACAGTTTTAAAATGAGAAGAAACCTACGTTTTATTTTGAAAAGGCAGTATCATAAAATTTCCATTTAACTACATAAAAGGGACTATTTAAAATGTAATAATCTCCATTTCCAAAATTCTGTTTTTAAAACCCAGCATGGAAACACAACATGTTTGCAACCCTGCATTGATGCTGGCATTAAGATTTCATTATACCACATCCTTGTCAGGCAGGGTATCTATCCCTCAGGATCCAGGCACAGGTGCTGTTACAGATGAGACAGACAGACTACTGTCAAAGACACAGACTGAAAGACAAAGCAGTTACCCAAGAGGAATGCTCCTTCATCTGGTGCTGGTTGCTGTGAGGGCCACTGGCATGGCCACACCAAAAGCAGTTCTGGCACAGCTGATAGTTGTGGCACTGCTGGCATCGGTACCGGAAGCCCATCATGCTTTCACAGCGGCAATAGGAGCACTCCACGGGGTGAAAGACTGGTGGCCGAGAGACAGAAGGCAGGAAGGGAAAAAAAAGAAATTATGTCATCTGGAGAAGAGAGTCAATACAGAAGAAAAACAAATCTAATAAAAGCCAAGGTGGATGTCAGGCATTTAGCTCAGTGGTTCCATTGCCTGCCTCGCAAGTGCAAGGTCCTGAGTTTGATCCCTGGTACCAAAAAAAAAGCCAAGGTGGAAACAAAATTAGACCCAAAGTATCAAAAGTTGTCTTTTTGTCATCAAGGTATTTCTGAAAGACTATAAAAGCACTAATAAGAGCGTGTGCTTGAAACTAAAACCCTATAATTTGGTATAGTTTCCTCTAGAGAACACAATTCTGATATTAGTCTAGAGCTAACATCAGTGCAGACATCAGTCCAGACAATATTTATAATTCTAATAATTTGGGGTTAATATTAAATGATATACATATATTAATATTAAATTAACAAGTACATTCTGATAACTTTGATCGAACATGTATGTATGTCTACACTTGATCTTAGCCAAAAGTCCAAGAAGAAATTGAACGTGTATGCCTATGTGATTTTATCCTAAGCCTGCCAAGAGCCCTCGCTCATATTAGTAGAATGGATAACTAGCTGAGAAAGCAAGAACCAGAATGAGGAGGATCAACTACTAGCAAGATAAGGACTGTTCAGGTCCTGGTAAAAGTATCATTTTGGTAAAGCGCATCATATAAAAGCTATCTTTTTATATACTATACACTTAGATTTGTAAACCAATATAAAAAGTGCAAATACAGCTTTAGAAAGTAAATATTTGTCCTTTTAAACAATAATTTCAATACACTGAAGAAAAGGGCCAAAGCCAAAATACCTAGAAATACCATAATTTTAGAATTTGTTTTCCACTATAAGAATTAAAACATATAAACAAATGTCAATGTGATGGATAAAATGTTTTATTTCTAGATAATTCAATGATTTCATAACATTTCTGTCTTCAAGGAAAAATAATACCACTAACCATAAAAGACTGTAATCAATAAATAATACATGACACACAAAGATACAGTAAAATACTTACATGGGTAACATACACTTTGACAAATGAGATTCTTTCTACTTCTCACAGCAGATACAAAATGATTTTATGAAAATTAACTATATGTGAAACTACTAAAACACTCAAGGCTATAAAAAAAGCACTGCCTCTAAAGAACCTATAATACTATATAATTTAACAACTTAAATCTCTACTCAAAAATCTTGCTAAAAATTTAGCTGTTTTAGTCTAGTCAAAAGATTCTGGTCCTGGGACCGGGGATTTAGCTCAGTGGTTCCACCTGCCTTGCAAGCACAAGGACCCGAGTTCGATCCCTGGTACCAAAAAAAGAAAAAAAAAAAAAAAGATTCTGGTCCTTTAAGAAAATAATCCTAAATCTGAGACATCTATGAATGAAAGCTGTAGCTGAGCAGAAGTCTGAGAAGTTCAAAAAAAAAAGTATGGACAGAAGGGATGGGTGGAGAAAAGTATTTATAAAGGGGAGAGAGTGAGGACTTTCCTTTTTAGTAGCTTCTCAGCTCTTCCTTGTTCTTTTTTGTGGGATGAAAAAAGACAGGCAACAGCCTGGAGAGAACAAAGGTTGCATAGAAAAGCTATGGTCTTCCCTTCAATAAATTCAAACCTAAACAAGGAGATAAACTGATGGCAATAGGAGAAAAAGTAGAGGTTCTAAGAAATGAGTACTACTTCAACACAAAGCAAAACAAAGATTTAAGTCAAACTACTGAGAAGGATACCAAAAGTACATTCAAGGTAAACTTGTTTAAAAAAACAGAAGATATATGAGACCAAGTACTACACTGTATCTTATCTTTAAATTATTCAAAAGTAATTATAGTTTTACTGGTTAATACCGCATATATCCAATTTATTAGAGCTGTGATTTTGACAAATTGAACAGGAAAAAAAAAGGAAATCATAGCTAAGGTAGACTCAAGTATATGATCCTCTGTTATTTCAGAAAAAAAAAATTAGGCTCAACCACCAAGTTTTATGATCTGGTATTATTTCTTGAAATGTCAGCTAAATAACAGGCCTACTCCTTTTTAGAAATAAATATTCTCTGAAAGCTAACATCACAAATTCAAATGATGGACTGCCAGCAAATGTCAATTATAATTTTCAATACTAACAGTTAAGGACAGTTAAAATAATCAGTCCCAATATTCACTGCAGCGTAAGAACTGAACATGAGAGTTCTACTCACCATTCTCAACATGGGCAAGCCTGTGCACGAGAGGTAGCCAGACAAGGCACTGAGGGGGAGGATCAGCCATCATTGTGTCTAAGAACATATTCAGCATTATCTTTTTCTGCAAAGAGAAGAAAAACAAATATTATCTTTTAAGTATCTCGAATTTCAACATTAAATTAATTTAGGATTCTTCCAACCAACCATGAATGCACTGCACGTGAAATTTTCCAGCAAAATAATATTTTACATTATTATAATTACTACTACACACTATATTACACATGACTACTACATAAAAATGCATTTCCAAATATGGTATTTTATTTATTTGCATCTTAAGACTACTTTATGAAGTAAGCAAGTTGAATACTGCTATCTTCATTTGACAGATGAGAAAATGAAGCAAAGCACTTCAATGACTGGTAATGGCCCTGTCCAAATCAGACACAGAACCAGGACTAGAACTCTCAAGTCAGGTTGCCTACATACTTGTAGCATTCCCAACAGTGCCTGGCACACAATTGGCACTTAGTATGTGGTTGTTAAATAAATAATGATGCAAAGGCCAAATACTCTTAGACATCATTTAACAATAACTCATATAAAGAAGAGAAAAGAGAAGATTGGTGTAGTTACATAACTTGACAGAATAACAAAATAGTTACAAGGGTGAAATAAGAAGCTAGATATCAACATTCCTGTCACAGCAGTTTCTGTCTCCCTAGACTGCATTTTTCTGTTCTTACTTTTCAAAGAGATAGAAAACTTCCATTATATGTGAAATACTGACATGTCCCACACAAAAATGGAAGTAGTTACATGTGGTAGCTAGAACAAATTTTCAATAATATCTCAAATTAATGAATTTTCTTTTAATTTCTGCCAAGTCACAAAACACCTTTCCATCTCCAAAGGGAAAGGGAAAAAGAGCTAAGACAGTGCCATGCAACTTGCCAGGGGATCTGTAATTTATAACCTGGAATGGGGGCCCTGCTTCACACTCCACTCCAAAAGAGAACAGAGACAAAGGGTAACACACAGGAGGTGCACAGCCCCAGGCCTCTTCCATCCTCTATTCCACTGTTTAAAGGTGAAGAGTGAAGCCTAAAGGACACCCAGAATTTCAGTTCACTCACACCCAGTTCTACCTACAGTCTATTACAAATGGGTGCTTCCCAATCAAACTAAAATACTTTAATTTCTTTTAGGGAAAAAAGGGTAAAAAAGATAAAATTGAAAGAATTATGGGCTGGCTGTGGTGGCACATGCCTATAATCCCAGCACTCAGGAGGATCTTAAAGAGTTCAAGGCCAGCCTAGGCTTCATAGTGAGTTCAAGGACAACCTGAACAACCCAGCAACCTGGAAAAGGGCCGGGGATGTAGCTCAGTGGTTCCGCAGCCTGTCTTGTAAGAGCAAGTTCCCGAGTTCAACCCCTGGTACCAAAAAATAAAAACAAAAACAAAAACAGAAAACCCTGAGGGCCAGGAATTTAGCTCAGTGGTTCCACCGCCTGCCCTGCAAGCACAAGGACCCGAGTTTGATCCCCGGTACCAAAAAAAAAAAAAAAAAAACCTGGAAAAGATATAGCAAGCTGAAGGAAGTGAGATCCAGGGCCAGTGCTGCTAAGGGAAGGAAGGAAGAGGCTGAGATCTGTGCAAGATTGAAGAGGAAGCCTGGAATCATCTGTTCCAGTCCTTTCCACGCCTCTGTGCTAGTGAAAGGGACACTCACATTTCTGTTGTCTCTTAAGACTCTGGTGGGATCTGGGAGGAATGAGTGAACAACACTAAAAACCAGAATACCACCTAATAAGGAAAAGACCTCATACTATGGACATGCAAATAACCAACAAACTAAAATGAAACCCAAAATGTAGTAATTACTGAGCAAAAAGGAGGTGCTAGCAAGTTTTAGCTAGGTCAGCAAAAATTAAAATGTATCCTAACCTTTACTATAAATGTAATGTTTAATATTTCTGTATCTTTATATATTTATTTTAAATTACTTTTACAAATCTACTTACAATCTGAATGCTACTTTCTAAAAAGTTTTGATTCGTCAATCAAGTAATTTTTAAAAATCTTTAAAATAAAAAATATATATATATTTTGTGGTAAGATCCTCATATATACACTCAGGATCAATTTCTAAAGGTTGAGCCAGGTCGTAAAGTTCTCCAAAAGCATGAGAAATGAAAGTGGAGAAGCTGTGTCCCAGTCCTGTCTCCCACCAACCCTGTGATTTGGGGAAAATACTGAACATTTCTGGGTTTCACTTTTCTTGTCGTGAAAGACTTAAACAGTGATTCTCAAAAAGTGTGGTCAAGACTCCTGGGGAAGTCTTAACCATTTTCAGAGTCCAGGAGCCAAAACTGCTTTTATAATACTAAGACATGATACGCTTATCTCTTTCAATCTGGTTTGCTCATAAGTATACAGTGGGGTTTTCCAGAGGTAAAAAGATGCAGCTCCAATCATCTGAAAAGGCTATGAAAAGACTTTTCCCTCTTACAACTACAGAGCTGTGTGAGACCAGATATTTCCCCCATACTTTAACCAAGAGAACATATCACAAAAGATTGAACGCATAAGCAGATATGACAAGGCCACTGTTCTACTGAGCCAAATCTTAGAGATTTGCAAAAATACTATGAAGCACTGGCACTCTTTCCATAAATTTTTGTTTTGGAATATATAGCTATTTTTCCATAAACATGTTATTTATGTTAACATTAAAGGATTTTTTATTGTTACTTTTTATAAAATACTTAGTCCTTTTTCATACACATTATTTATATAAACAGATCACTGCTATTTTTAACAACTTACTTTTAATGTTACATGAAATTTCTCACTTTAATTTGTAATATGAAAATACTGACAGATATAAGCCACATAAACAAAAGCTCTTTGGAGTTTTCAATAATTTTTAATTTTGAAATCTGAAACCAAAAATTTTTAAATGGATTGGGAAAGAATTCCATTTCTAAATTTCTGTGACTCAGTAAATACCTATATGAAAGTCAGGATGCCCTTCTCTTATCCTCTGTTTTGTTTTGATTTCCCTCTTGTGTTGACCATATTCTTTGTACTTTTCTATATTTATATCACACAGTAATATTTATAACAAAAATGATAGTAAAAGCCAGGGATTTAGTTCAGTGGTTCTGCCACCTGCCTCGCAAGTGCAAGGTCCAAGTGCAAGGTCTCAAGTTAGATCCCTGGTACCAAAAAAAACCCCCAAAAACAGTAAAATTCAATTAATGTACATTCTCACCTCAATTCTCATTTTTGCCTATTTGCCTCCCTATATATATAAATATGAACATACAGTAAGTGTGTTTTTACACAACATTTTATTAAACACTGTTTTGCACAAGGTCTTCATTTCTAATCTTTTTTTTTTTTTTTTTTGATACCGGGGATTGAACTTGGGACCTCGTGCTTGCGAGGCAGGCAGCTGAACCACTGAGCTAAATCCCTGGCCCCCATTTTTAATCATTTTAACAGCTACTCGATCCAGTGGGCAAAAACACTATGATTCCTCTATAAAACATTGAGGATGTTTCTATTACTTTATGTGGTCTCATATTTTTTTCTTAGAAGTGAGTCTGTTTGTTGTCTTAACTCTAACAATTATTATTCTATGTGCCATTTTCACCTCCTTTCTTCCTTTTTTAAAAAAGGAGTAGAAACCATCCCCTAAGAGAAATACAGTATCACTAAAATAAGATTGAAAATCCAAGCAGAATAATTTAGCAATAGGTTACCATTACTGCAATCTCCAACTTCATCATTTCCAATAAAAACTGTTTCCTCATTTGTAACATGTAAATATTTCTTATTCTCTGCCCTATCACTTAAGCAATATATGAGTTTATCTCAAAAACAGGTTTTTTTCAGTACTGAGGACTGAACTTAGGCCTTTGCACTGAGCTGTATCCCAGCCCTTTTTAAATTTTTTATTTTGAGAAAAGGTCTCACTAAGTTGCCAAACTACCAGACCTGGGCTCAAACTTCTCACCCTAAGGAGGCTCAGCTTCCTAAAGTGCTAGGATTATAGGCATGTGACACTGTGCCTAGCTAAAACAAGAACAGCAGAGAATGGCATTTTAAGAAGTTTTTAAATTATAGAAATATCTTATCTGGCAAGGACAAACATATTAACTAGAACCAGTGCTATAGGGCAGTTTTTCAATTATTGGACACCAAAATCTGCCCATATCTCAGATTTATTTTGGCCTTTGAAAATGAGTAATTTATAATGATACAACAATGTAATGCTGCTATGCTTTTTATAAATATGCTTCTTATAAATATCTTTTTGTAAGAGATATTTTTATTTATTAGAACTAAAAGAAATGCTGTAAAAACTCTTGAAATTCTGAAATACTGTATTTCCCTCACTGCAAAGACTCTTGAGAAAATTATGGAATAATATAATTTAAAACAATCAGGTTACAAGTACAACCACAAGCTTTAAAGTTTCAGAATTGGGGGCTGGGGATCTAGCTCAGTGGTTTCGCCGCCTGCTTCACAAGCGGAAGGACCCGAGTTCGATCCCCCGTAACAAAAAAAAAAAAAAATTAAAGTTTCAGAATTCAAGTAAAAAAATACTAATTTTCTCATGTCATGCGTGATTTTTAAATAATTTTTTCAGTTTATCCAGAAAATTCTTAGTAAGCATCATTCATTTACCAGGTACTCTGTGGTCAATGAAGATGTGAAGTTGAAAAACCAAGGTCCTTCCCTCTGGGTATCCCTGAGCTACATGCAGCATGCCACAGGAGTGCACATAGGAACAGATTAACCTCTACGGAAAGAGTCACAGCACCCAAGAGGAGGAATATCTTAGCTGGGATATGAAACATCAGGCCCTTGGAAGAGAGAGAGTTCAGGGGTTGCTGGTGTTTCACTGAGCACCAAAAACATAAAAAAGATAGGACGGGCTGGGGATTTAGCTCAGTAGTTCTGCTGCCTGCCTAATAAGCGCAAGGTCCCAAGTTCAATCCCTGGTACCAAAAAAAAAAGCAGCTAAAAAAAGATAGGAAGGGTGACTACTTTTACTCGCTCTTAATACAAATTACTCAGATCAAGAGAAATGCAAATCAAAACTC